GTACAATCGTTGTAAGTGAATTCATCAGACATTTGTCATTACAAATTTTCGAGTATATCTACATAGTACCTGTGAAGTGAAGTTAACTTTTCGAAAAATCTAATGAAAATTTTGGATGGATATTACTACTACTACCATTAAATAGAAAAAGGCTTGCGCGGCACGACAGCGAAGTATTGGATTACATACGCAAATTTAATAAAACTGTTTCAAGAATATTCGAGAAGTATAAGAATGGAGATTTTGAATTATATGTTCCAGTCTACCTCAAGTAGCCACTCTTAAGTTCTATTTTATGGTGGATTGTTGGATTCTATAACAATATAGTAAATGTATAAAATACCCATCCTGGATTGTTGGCAAAAAGAGGAATTTCAATAAGCCGAAATGAAAAGTCATTTTCTAGTTTCCAACGGACCTCACATTGGAAAAAACCATTAACAAAAATGGTGCAAGTACTGTAACAAGTATCCATTTATTTCGACGTAATGAATCATGATAGAATTAAAAAAGATAACATTTCGATAAAGGAACTTGCGAGTCAAATAATCAATACCCTTCAGCGAAAAAAGCACTGAGAGATCGACTTATTGCTGAATGCAGCAAGGATGCAAACAGATTTGAAAAGCCCATTTCAAAAAAAGTAATTTACACATTTGCATCAGAAAATACAGTAAGAATTTAGAAAAGTGACGTTAAAATATCTGAAGTTAAAGTAGAAAGAAATCTAATGGGACGGTTTTCAGTATTATCTTTGCAACATAATGTTGATTTATTAAATGTCTTGTATCCTTAAACGCCCGTTCCATTGTCGCTTATTCATCTTGGCGAAAGTATCAACGAAACAGAAAAATCTAAATTAATTAAATTATTAGAAACTCATGTGCCAACTTGTTCAATTCCAACTCAAATAGATTGTATGATTTTTGATAGATTCTTTTTTAAAAACCTCTTACGAGACCCTCCTGTTACTTATGCCAGATTGGCTATCTACATCATTAAGAAGCCATGAAGAACATCAAGTAAAAGAATAGACCCAATTTTTGAAAAGTGTGTAGTCCCATCAATAAAAGACATCGAAAGAGACAGAAGAGCAGGGATATTAGGAAAGGATAACGTGTTTATTATTATTGGAGAAGAGCAGAACCGGCCTAGGATTTTTTGAAATCATTGAGAAGTGACTCTTTTAAAATTGAATTTGTGCAGACAAATTATACGAATAAATTGTGAGGACATTTGTTACATATTTTACGAAATTGGTGGGCACATAAATTGTGAAGTTGATGTTGTTTTATAGTCCAGTCCTCAACATACTAGAATTCTAAATTTCTGGAAAATGCAAAAGTGATTCGTACATTTGACACAAATATATTAATCATAGCAGTGGGAAAAATGCACAAATAACAAATATTTGGATTTAAATTGGACTACAATCTAAAAATACTTTGAGAAATAAGTCTCCGTACACTATTATTTCTTGTGATAAATTGAAAAATTTCGTAAAGTTTAATATTTTGTACAATTGCCATTTGCTTTAAGTCTTTTTGGAAGACTTAAAACAAGCTTTCTTGTCATTTCTGGCGATATGTTTTCTACTCTTCTCTCAACCTATTTTTGAGGTCTTCTTTACTCGTAACTTGATGTTTTATCACTCGTCGCTTTAATTCTCCCCACAGGTGCTCTATGGGGTTAACATCCGGAGATTGTGGTGGTGTATGAAGTTGTGTGCAAGAAGTGACGTGCAAGCGTAACAATGTGATTAGGATCGTTATCGTGTTGGAATAAATAATGAGGGGCGTTAGGTTAAGTTTTTCAACACTTTGCTTTACATTATTTTTTAGGATGTTCAAATAGGCATGTTTGTCCATGATTCCGTCAATAAAAGCTCAATTGCCTGTCCCATTAACTGACATGCGCCCTCACAATAAAACATTACCTCCACCATGCTTCTCCGTAGGACAGACATTTTCGATTTTCAGGGCTGTATTTTTTTTCCTCCAAACTTTATCCCGACCAAAAAGATTAATTTTTGTTTTATCACTAAATATAACGTTTTCCCAAAAGTCCCTGTTTTTGTTAAGGTGTTCTCGGGCAAATCCCAAACCTTTTTTTCGATTTTTTTCCTTCCGGCAACGCGGCCGTTATAACCTGCTCAATGCAAGCAGTTTCTAATCGTTTGAAGGCTAACATTTTTTGAAAACTCTTCCCTGATTTCCTCTGCCAGTTTTGGTGCACTTGTTTTAGAATTAATTCTATTTTTTTTTCACAACAGAAGACTCTTCTAGTGCAGTTAACTTCCTGGGACGACCAGAGCGTGGCCGCACTTTAAAAGTGACGTCAAAAACGAACAAGTATAACTCATTTGTTTAAGCGAAATTTGATACAAGCTGACTTGACAAAATATTGATAATTAACGGTTCTACCTGCAATTCTGAATAGTGATTTATTAAAGTGTATGGAGACTTATTTGACATAATTTATTGCTTCTAAAACTGCCTTATTCTTTATCGCTCAAAAAAAGCGTCTCAAATTATTTTTATTTTATTTTTATTACTCTTAATAAGATTGCCAATATTTACTTGAAATATATTTCACAATAAATGTAAGTGAAAGGAGAAAAAAGTACTATGTGAACGGAGACTTTTTTGACCAGTTAAAGGCACAGTCGACGATTTTTGTGATAGTAGAATTTTATTTCGATTCTAGTTAATCGACAATAGCCGGAATCGTCATCAAATGTATACGTAGAGTCTCGGCATCGTCCCCAAGGGAGTAATCCATTAAAATGAAACTCAAACAGATATTAATAAGACAGTTCCACTATCGCGCAGAGTATTCAAGACACAATAGCCCTTTATACCGAAACGCGAGAAAAGCATCTCGTATTAATTTCGCCCCTGGCCATCAGTAAAAGAGTAAAGAGAATGATGGGCGAGCCTTTTTTATGGAGAAGGCGCTGATTAAAAATGCTTCCATTCTAAGATAAATTAAAATAAGTTGGGGAAACATTTTTCGATCTTTCTGATTCCGAGACCGACCGGGAAAACGTGGCGTTGTGTGGGAAACTATTAACGCCACTTTTGTTGCCGAAAATTAAATACGGCGCGAGTCTCTAACTTTAAATAAGTTCAGTAAATCCAAGAAAGTTTTATTTTCAAGTTACAAGATATTTAATAAACGCATTTAATCTGAACCACTTAAATTTACGCAGTTTAAAAGTGACGATGATCATTTTTGATGAAAAACAAGAAGTGAAACGTTGCGGTGACAGTTGTTCCCCGTTTGTCAAAAAACTAAGCACATTCAAAATGTCGTACTTAACTGAAACCTACAAGATTAATTATGATTGGCTTATGGGGAATACGAAACAAAGAAATGTTTTCACATATTCTTTTCTGATGAGTATCTGCAGAAGTGTGCATGCTTTACTTTTTTTTGCAAACAGTATTTGAGCATTTCAGTTTTCTTTTGGTTAGTTTTGGATAAGCTAGTTTGTGACCTTAAAGAGTTTATCAAACGTGCTGCATACTATACTTTTTCTACGACCGTTACCTTTTTGATACGTTTTTGCGAAACAGCTAGAACACATTCACTGAGTGGTATGTAACGTCACAAGCCCGTGACTAAAGTAGCGGAAACATTCGAAACTTCGCGCACGCTTAAGTCTAGTACTCAGTCGTACAGCTTCTCCTCTGCTCTGCTGTGGCTGGAGTTCGTCGCCATAATATGTTGTATATATTTTTTATCAGTCAACGGTATCGAGTTTTATTCTGTTGTGTTGTTGTTATTTTATTTATTTTGTTTGGATTTTTTCAAAAAACCTGTCAAGTGTTTCTGGGCTCCTTGGAAAAAATTATAGCGTTGATTGAAAGTAGTGTTGCCCATCACTTCCACTAAAGTGAACGAACTCAGAATCTGCAAGAAGTTTAATTTAGTATTGCCAATATATCATTTAGTTGAACGTCGATAATTATAGGCTATAGATATTACCAACAACTAACAAAAAGCTAATATACGCACCTTTGTTTTACGAATATTTCTCTTTTTCTCAGTACAATTAACGTTGTTATCAATGGCGTATAGTTTTTGGTATTTTTTATTGGGAGTATTAAAAGTAATAAGAATCAACTGTGATGTATGTTATATTTATACACAAAAACTTAACAAGTGTCAATATTTTAGCGACAGGGTAGTAGGAGAGTTTCGCTGACGATACTAGGTGGATCTGAAAACGAGGCTTTAAAGTAGGGAGTAGTATAGTATATCGTGCAACAAGTGTTGCCTCGAGGGAGACGGGCAAACATGTTGCATACTATACTTTTTCTAATACCGTTAGTTTTTGGGTACATTTTTGCCAAATAACGTGAGTTTCTAGTCCTACGGGTCCGAGTCACTTCGGACATTTGCAGAGATATTGCCAAACCTCAGTGAATGTATTGTTTTGCAAAAATCACTGTCGTACAAAAAGTATAATATACTCCGCTCGTTGCATAATATATTTATTTTAAATGAAAAATAAGAAAATTTTAAAATGTGTAAATTAATTGGCACTTCAAAAATATTTATGAGAAAAACATTGCTGTTTAACAAATAGTTGTTGAGGTCATACCTCAAAGCTAGGACAGATTGTAGAAAATTTTCTTCATGTTGATGTTAAATAGCAATCCACGTGTACAAGCATTCATTCTGAAAATACAATTATTTTTGACTTACCCAATTTATTCCTAATTAAATATTTGCATGGTATTCTTAATTTGTGAAACCATACGAGATAACAAGTATCAAGATTTGGGAATATGAAAAACGAAATATTTACTAAATTTTTAGTTTATTTTATAACTTTTAGATGGAATGTGGTATCTTAATTGAACTGCCAAAAAGAAGGCGCAAAACTATTTGATCTGGCTACGAGGAAGCGCAAAAGTGTCGCTTCTTCCGAATTTGCTGTTTTAACATGCGTGGTGGAAGTAAATTACGGTCACTCGTTCTTCTTTTTACAGGTTTATGCTTGCACATGCATTTCAAAAATTGGCCTGGCTATTTTTGGTTTATCAGAACTTGGCAGACTGCGACGATTTTCTTCAGGTAAGTATTTATTTTTAGTATTGCTTTTTATTTGCCATTATCAAATGTGGACTTCTTTTTCTCTGTTCTAAAAAGAAAAAACATCTATTTTGAAGGATTAGATCGTATTCGCAGGATTCGCAGACCATTACACAAAATTTTGTTTAGTTTTTATAATAATTTCTGGTTAGTTATGTTTATAATCTATTTAAACATTAAGCATTAATTTGGGGATAATTGAAAATCGCTCACTTTATGTCTAACTTATTTTAGTTTTTTTTTAATGTTATCAGCCATCGATTTTAATGACATTTGTTTCTTACAGTTTTCACTACGTGATAGTAATCATTTGTTTCGTTTCAAATACATACATTTGAAACGCTCGTCCTAATTACTATACATAACTTCTGGATTCAACAACAACCAAGAAGAATTATGAAATCCAATACCTGATTTATAAATGAATTCGTGCGTTATTTTAGCCGTTCACTGTATTTTTTTTGTTCTGATTTAATTAACTTTATGTACGGAAACATGTATAAAATATAATGAATGCGTTTACAAATCTTCTGAAACTGTTAACAAAGAAACAAATGGAACCGAATAAACTACAGCTTCAACCAAATGATATGTCTATGATATGTCCATCTTATTTGTTTAGGGTAAGGACGTCTTTATTCGACATTCTAGATTCACTGAAGAAAAATATCATTTAATAAACAACATTGTTATAAATGGCTACTTCTGTATTTACATATTGACAAAAACGGGGAAGTGTTAATTTTCTGGACTTCACTTTCCAAATTTTGTGTACTTTAAACGTTAAACACGGGGCAGTGTTATGCATTGATCAACTAAAGACCACTAAATGCGTCAACAATTAACAGCTAAATTTTAAAAATAGAAACGTCTCGTACTTCTTAATCCAAACAATTTTTATAGCTCATATCAAAATGAATTTCTTTCTGTTTTTGCGCCAACTCCTCAACCAAACCGCACCTTCTCGTGCACTTTAATAATAAGAATGTCGAAAAAGAAGTTTTATAGAAAGGCCATTAGTTCCTTCAAACACAAGCATGAGAACCAAAATCTATAAAAAAATTTGTATTAAAAATAAATACAATTTCTTTTGGGCAACATCTAATGTGCGTAATAAATCGCATTTAGAAATACTCGTAAGTAACAAAAGAATCTTCTTTTTACTTTTAAATAGCTTTTAAAATAACCAAAGCTCTTATGTATAGCACGAACAAAATTTATAAATACCTATGGACATATTCGTGTATATGCACTTAGCATAAATAAAACGGCAATATTACAGCGACGAGGAAAAAAGAGGAGCAGTAGGTAACGTAACAGCACATTTAGTTGAACTGGGGCGTTGTTGTCCATGAAACATGGACGGCTCTTAATGGAGTGTTAAAATTTTAATACCGAAAACGAGCGAGAGATGCGGTTGGTGCAAGTAAACGGAAATCTATAAACACATTTTTCTGGCGGGAATTGATAAAACTGAACGTTTTAAATACACGAACACGCTTGTGTATAATCACGGTTTTACTTACAAACGCAGCTTAATTTATAATATAAACAAATTTTAATCAGTTGAGCCATGAAGAAGCCTGATTAACGAAAAATCAGCCAGTTTCATTTATAAACTGCCGACGCAGGAGGAATCCAAAAGATTTGTAAATAGTATGGAAGAGAAATGTTGAAAAATAATAGATAGATTTATTTAGCCATTTTTTTCATAAAAAGTATTTATAACAAATGGCGCGTCAGTAGTACAAAAGAAAAAAGAAAGATTTACACTGACAACTTGTGGTTGTGGATAAATAAATCGTATAAACAGAGTCTTAAGATAGAAAAATAGAAAAATTCCATGCGTGAAAACAATATCACCAAATATACAATAGACGTACACTATATAAGTACAATACATAAATTATAAAGTGTAAAAACGATGGAATCTAGAATTTAACAGAAAATAAATATAGATAGGTAGATAATAAAACATGTTGATCTAAAATTCGTGTTTGGCCGAAAGGGTGTATTCTATAATGGAGTAAGAAGCATGCTCCAGAAGAAACAATCTAACTTCTCTGGAGGAATTTAGACTGTGATAAGTCTCTGATATGTTGAGGAAGAACATTGTACAAGTCGGTGCGAGGCTAGACACAGACTAGGAAGTGTCATGATTTTTAGCCTCTTGAAGATAGGGCGACAATGTGCCAGAGGTGTTGATCCGTGAATTGTACGTACAGCTTTCTTTCGCATTCGGAAAGCTTTGGCTGCATGGACAGACCCGCCCCAGTTTAGGACTGCGTACGACAGCAAAGAGTGAAATAAGCCAAAATAAGCCATCCTCAGCATGATCGTTTTGGCAAAGGATTTAAGATGCCTCAGTAGGTAAAGTGTGACGCTCAATACATTAATTGGGACTTGATTAAGATGACTGAATCTATTGCCTGAGAAGGTCATACGCTAAGTTTTGCTATGATTAAGAACAAGACTGTTGCAGTTCAACCAGGTCTCCGCGACTTCCTCTGCGCGGACACACTCTTCCGCCAGATGAAAGGGATTCTTTCCCCTTATTAGGAGGGCAGCATCGTCTGCATGATGGGGGATGTATAAGGGAAAATCGTTAATGTATATAACGAAAAGTATTGGGCCTAGTATAGAGCCTTGCGGAACACCATACCTGACGGGAAGTTCGTCGCTCCTAGTTCCGTTGATTTCGACCAACTGAGATCTATTGATTAGGTAAGACTTAAGCAATTCGAGCGGAGTGCCCTTCACACCATACCACTTCAACTTCCGATAGAATACATTGTAATGAATACAGTCAAAAGCCTTAGTCAAGTCAAACCTCAGTGCCATCAAGACCTAGTGCCACCTCCTCGACAAGGTCCACAAGAGCAAGAGTCGTAGATTTTCCCTTACGAAAACCAAATTGAAAACTGCTGAACAGATTCTTGCTCTCGAAATAGTCCACGAGCCTGCTCTTCAATATCTTTTCCACCACCTTGGCCAGAACCGGGATAATTGCGATTGGACGGTAATGGATAGGCACAATTTTGGCAATTTTTAGTTGGTCGGGAAAAATGCCGATGGTCGATAACCCCCGAGACATAACCCGCGTCAGACACATTAACCATGATGTTGTCGATGCAGTTGGCACAAGTATTTGTTATTCTAGTGTTATCGTGAATGGTCCCATGCATGCCAAACGAGGCCAGCATGTTCAATAATTCTTTTCGATTGTCGTCGTTATCCAAATTTTGCATTAAAATCACCAACAATAAAAACTTTTTTCGTCGAGGAGTAAATTTCTAAGTTGTTATAAAAGGTATTAAAAACATCCTTTGAACCAGAACGATAAATACTCATAACCACTGTATCGATCGTAGGGAACACAATACAGCAGAATTGGGCATGCAAATCTATACAATATTTATCAAGATCTAATGCCTCTCACTTAATATTATTTTTTACATATATTGCACAGCCACCTTTGGTGGTGCTTTTCCTACACTAGTAACTCTGCAGGATGAAATTTTCACGATTTACACTTTTTACCACATCGAAGTGATTATCCATAAGGAACAGAAACAACATATCGATCTTGCCTCGCAGGCCCTGCACGTTCTGAGAAAATATTCTGAGGACCCCACGACCACACGAAAGAGTCCCAGCTACTTGTTGGGGTGTACCCCCGCGGGACGGGAAAAAAACGATTAATCAGGACCCCGTACGGCCAGTCACCTTGAAGGATGCATAATATTCCGGATATTTTGAATTAACTTTGTCCACATGAGCGTTGTTAACTATTGTAGTGAGGTAGGTAGTTTCGTGACATGAAAGCTAACAGGACTCTCGGCAGCCTGTAGTTTGCATTTGCTCGTATCATTCAGACTTCCTACCAGAGGTGTTTTTTTAGACGATGTAGTTCTACTCAATCCCCTTGAAGTATTACGCTATAGTCCGGCAACATCGGAGGACTTCGTTTCAGTTAAAGCGCTATGGACAGCTATCGCGACATCGCTTTTGGTGACAAATTCGGGACTTTTATTTTTCTGCGGTACTGACTGTTTGTCGTTCGCAGGTAGGCTGTTGTTTACGCCAGTTGCTACTGCAGATGTAGGTGTAATAATAAAAATAAAACAATAAAAATAGCTTAGATACTAATACACGTATCAACCTCTCAATGAATATTTTGTGCGTTAATTCTATTATTCATTTCATTCAACAAACATCAAGCTGATATCATTTAACAAATAGTAGAAAATCACTAAAATCATAGCACTATATATGCTAATAATACCTGCGTCCTTTCAAAATTACTTTGAACCACTAAAACCTTGTGGTATTCAGGAACAGAGCCGAATATATTAAAGGCTTAGGTGATAGAAGCCATACAACATCTGAAGACAAATAAGTAGATCACATAAATGCCAAAATACTAAAGATACTGTAGGAACCGGGGATAGACATACTATTGGACATTTGCAACAAGATCCGACACACTAAGACATGGCCAACGGACTGGATTAAGTCCATATTTATCCCTTTACATAAGAAAGCCTCTACCAAAAAATGTGAAAACTATAGAACAATCTCTTTCATATCGCACGCCAGCAAAATTTTCCTAAGAATAATCGACCGCCGCTTACGGCGTTACCTAGACTCACAAATACCATCCGAGCAAGTCGGCTTTTTGAAAGGAAGAGGAACACGAGACCAAATTTTCAATATTAGACAACTAATAGAAAAGAGAATTTAATTCCCCTATGCTACTCTGCTTTATTGACTAAAAAAAGCATTCGACTTCGTAAAATGGAAATGCTTGTGGCAAATATTCAGAGAAATGGGAATAGCGAATCACTTAATAAGTCTAACTAAGAACCTATATGAATAAAATGAAGCCATAGTGAAAATAGATAACCACTCATCACAGGACAAGGATGCATATTGTCCCCCAGGCTTTTTAACGCCTACGGAAAACTTATAATCAGAAACGCCCTAGACGATTTCGAGGGAGGACTATCAATAGGTGGTAAAAAACTGACAAACCTACGATATGCAGACGATACAACAATGCTGGCGAGAGAGATCGAAATGAGGATGATGTTGAACAGAGTGCAAAGTGAAAATGGGTCTGGAATTAAATCTGAGCAAGACTAAGCTCATGGTGATTGACATAGCGGAATCCTTTCACGTCCGAACCTGACAAACATAGAAAATGCAGATGAATTGGAATTGAATAAGAAACACGAAAATGATGCGGGTTAAATCGCTTGTATTCTCAATCTTTCTCTACGAAGCGGAATCCCAAACTATGAAAACACCAAACATACGAGATGAGATGTGGTGTTGGCAACGTATGCTCCGATTTCATGGACTGAGAAATGTACCAATGAATCTATACTAAGGGAGCTAAAGATCAAAGATAGACTGTCCACAGTATGTCGCCGGCGAATCTTAAAATGCTATGGACACACCACACGACGAGATGGTGACAACCTGGAGAAAATGATAGTACAGGGAAATGTAGAAGAAAAACGACCAAGAGGCAGGTCGTTAGATGGATAGACCAAGTAAAGAAAATCATGGATACGCAGCTGATTGTGTAAGATCACGATTTCTCGGACATAAGAATACGACTAAGAAGAAGAAGATTCAGGAACTGCCATCCGCCTGTTTTTTGGCAGAATTTTCTCAGAATATGCCAAGATCTGTTCTGCGGTAACCCCTGTCCCTGCTGACCAAGGCGGTACATTCAGACCTTCCATTCCATTATGCCTGGACATCCTCGCTTTCTTTCCTAGGAGAGCCCTGTACTCTCGAGAAAGTACAGTACCTCTGTCTTCTTAGATGACAGTGTTCTGTTAGAATTCCTTCTGTTAAACTCAAAAATCTGATATATATTTTTTTAAGTTATGAATTGTATATTATAAAAATAACGTTTCCCAACTTTTCAATCTCCACAGGCTACCGTAATACTTTTTACAAAACTTTTGGATTCCTCCTGCGTCGGTTTTTGCTGAGTCGAACATGCTGACATTTCGCCAGTCATCCTGTTGGCTTCTTCAGAGCTTGACTGAAACTGTTTCAGTTAAATTTCAGATAAATTAAATCATATTTTTTATCTGTCAACATGATGAAAAGCGGAAAGAAATTTTTAAAATACATGTTTTTGAAAATACCTTTAAAATAAAAAGGTTCGGGTAATAATAATAAGAAAAATTCAAATCAAATATTGTAAACATTTGTAAAAAGTTTCAGATTTCGATTTGTGATTACCATTTAATGCGTTAGCACTAGTAGTAAGTAACACGCATGTAAACTAACCAAAACTAAATGATACGTAAACGTACTTACAAGAAAATAGAATTCCAACTTTACATTTCAAGTTTTTTTAGTACCATTGCCAAAAGTATTATTGTCAAATATTGGTTTTTTGTTGCTCCCTCTCCATGAAAAATTAAATATTCTCTCAAATTTTTCATTACGTTTCAACCACATATCGTCAGATAAAGAAAATGTAATTTGATTTATATAAATAATAGAGTGTAACTAGCACTCTTTAGGAGCAACGTCCAAATAAATAAAATAAATTAAAAAAACCTAAAATTTCAATTTTTTGTAATTTACTATAATATTTTCTCAATTAATGAGAAAATTCAGGATAATATTTAAACTTTAAACGCCCAGTTATTCCGAAACCAGCCACACATGAGGCATGTTAAACTGAACCATAATATTTTGGTGTCTAGTATCTCCAGTTCAGAGATTGCCAATTATTTATGAATTTATTCTTGCTATAACTCGTTTTTCGAGATAATTATTCTAAATTTTCACAATGCATTAGTTTATTTTAGAATTTTTTATTAGAAACCAAAACTTGCTCTTAAAGGTTTTTTTTCTAACATTAATATAATTCAATTCGGTTCGGTTTAAATGTTTTTTTTTCCAGTTTTATAGGCCCAAATCTGATCTACCACAGGAACTAAATGAATTTTTGGCAAGTGTGCAACAACATAAACAAGATTTCGCCTACATTAAAGACTATGCCAAAAAACAAAAGGCGTACGATGACCATTTAAAAGAAACACATAGTTTATTTGACGAAGACGTGGTAAATATTGACAGTTAAACCAAAGTTTACAGAATTAAAATACAAGTTGCCGCACGGGCATTGTGCCGCGATTCGACCTTTGGAACGTGTGTCCCCCTCACGCCTAACTTGCAGTAGATTGGCAGTAGGCGAACTACACGGTGCGGTTGCAACAAACATCGCGCATCTTCTACTCGATGAGCGCAAAATGTCTGTGACGTATCGTGCAGTGGAAGATTGTGGCAGTAAATTAAACGAGGGACTGATTTTTTTGTTGTTGTCCATTAGATGAATCCGGGTAATACTATTTTAAAACCTTTTTTTCTCTTTCTGTCCAGGGAACGTCCAGATTTTATTGATTATCTCATCGTTGTTTCCAGGTGTCACGCTTGGAAGAATGTACTTGGATTTATAGACATTCATAGATAGGCTAATATAACGTTAGACTCAAGTCACAGTCGAACGAAAATTTGCAGTTTACATGCTTGCAATACTCAAAACAACGGGAATAGACAAGGACATCCAAATAATTGTAAACCTGTATTGGAACCACAAGGCAACAGTGAAAATGGGAAACCAATTTACAGCGTAGAGTGCATTTTGCCCTCCTGCTCTTCAATCTGTATTCGGAAGTAATATTCAATAAGGTTTTAGAAACGCAGGGATGGGAATAGTAAATGGCAGAAATATCAACATCAACTATGCTGACGATACGATGTTATTGGCAAACAATAATGACGATTTGCAACTACTGATACATAAAATCACAATCGTATGTGAACGGTATTTACTGAAAATGAAACCAGGAAAACGAAATATGTGATTATAAGTAAACAAACTTGCCGATAGAAAAAGTCAATAAGCTCACTTATCTGCGCAGTAGCATTAATGACTGTTGGGATCCATCAGTGGAAATAAAAATAAGAATAGGGAAGCAAGAGCAACGTTCGTACGGATGAAGAAAGCCTTGGGTAGGCACGATATATCCCTATATCTTAGAATGAGGATGGTTCAGTGCTAAATATTGTCCGTCTTATTTTATGGTATTAATTAATGACTATGTGATGAAACATGTGGAGACGTTTGGGATATGGGTGAATCGGCGTCTGCTCGGAATAAATTGGATGGATAATGTGAGAAACATCGACGTTCTAACCAGAATGTCTAAAGAACCAGAAATAAGTGTGGCTATTGAAACGCGTAAGCTACAAAAAGTATGGACGGCTACATCTAATCATGAAAGGAAAGATAAACAGCAGAAGAGGACCAGGACGATGAAAAACATCCTGGTTGAAAAACTAACATCAATGGTATGGTCACTCCTCCGTGCAATTATTCCGAGCAGGGGTAAACAAGACACGAATCGTCAAGATGATAGCCAGCATGATAGCCAACAATCGTTAACGGTTACGGCACTACAAGAAGAAGAAGTGATAACAGCTCGAAATCCCCTTCAGAAATTTACAATTCTTTCTTTGAAATTAGGTGCCAGTTTAACATCTGATGGTAAGATTCTCCTGGGAAATTAACAAACGACCGAATTTACTTGTCGACTGGTACATTCATGTAGTAAATATGTGTACGTTAGAATTAACAAATCGCATCAATTTTTGCACCCTCCATTTTGCGGAATCAAGTAGTGGCGCAGGATAAAAAAGACAAGGATGCTATTTTATGAATATACAAGATGGGGTCTGACAGTAAACTGTAATCAAACAAAATACATGTGTGTGGGAGGAGAGGAACAGGGTCTGGAAGTTGGGAATAGCGTTACGGCGACGTCATGTGAGGAATACTACTGGGAACTAAGATGAATAAGAGTTGACGAACAAGATAGGAAATAGAAGACCGAATAGTGAAGGAGAAAAGAGTCATAGGATGTCTCAACTCTCTGGTCTACACATATTGCTAAAGAAAGGAAAAAACTTATATACGATACGATTTAAAAGCATAGTCCTTTATGGATGCAAAACATAGCACCTAGACAAAGCCTTGGAAAGAAGACTGCTGTGCTTAGAAATGGACTTCTGGCGCAGAGCGACAGGTAAATCAAGGATGGATCGAGTAAACAACCAACAAATAAGAGCAATCATGGACGTGCAGAAGTTATTTGGTATAGCCACGTAGAGGGAATGGGTGAAGAAAGATTACCAAAGCAAATTCTAAAATGGTCATCCACAGAAAGAAGGAAAAAGGGAAGACCTAAGATCACATGCCTAAACGGAATACGCCGAGCCATGTCAGAAAGGAAACTACAACCAGGAGACTGGGAAGACCGAAAGGAATGGAAACCGGAAGACATAGGATGCTATAGAACCGGATATCATTATTATAATGTATAATACATGAAATCAACACTGCAAGCGGCGGATGCTAGTGAGAATGTTCAAACCAAATAGGTATTTACATTTAGGTAGCTGTAGTTGTTCATTTATTTATGGCTCAGCTACACTACCAAGATTAATACTGACAACCTTTAACGTTGGTAAAAGAAAAAATGAAAATTTCATAGCGTACTTGCTAGTTGAAATGGGCTTTCTATTATGCCAATTACCATTTTAACTGGTACATATTTGATGTGGCGGAAGTTTGTCTATAAATTTATATAAAAATAAGATAAAACAAATTGTAATTATAAAAACAAAATTTTAGTTTTTTCCTTTGTATGTCCACTAATTAACCAATTATTGTAATAAAAAAATATTTAAATTTATTTATGTAATTAATGTAATCACGGTCTACTACAAAGCTTAATAACTCCTTTGAAAAAGAAGCTATCAAGCAGAACGAAAAATTAAACCATTAAAGTAGAACAAGGCTTGAAAGGTTTGACAATAGAAATTTTCCATTCGTAACACTAAATTCCAGAAGGTCTGTTTAATTTTCAAATCAATAGTATTCCTATACTAAATATGGAAAAAAATACGAATTTAAAACACTCTCTGGAATTTACTGACAGGAATAGAAAATTTTTATTGTCAAATCCTTCAAGCATTGTTTTATTTTTATGGTTCAATTTTTCCTTCTGCTTGGTACCTTCTTTTTTAAACTTTACGGTAGAGCAATATTTTTGTCCGAGAAGCGTATATTCGTATATTTGTTTAAAAATTTCAATTTAAATTATGTAGCTATGAAGATATCTTTATTAAGTGCGTCATTTTATTTATTTATAAATATATCATATTTTTGGAACCCCCACGTATATGCTTCACGCGGGATAAACATATAATCGGAGATCCCTGGTAACCCAGTAGAATAATAAACGGGAATGAATGGGAAGCGGATCTCGTCACGTCGAATTTACATCAAAGGTTTGATGGAGAGTGCGGCAACTTATATATTAATTCTGTAAACTTCGGTAAAACGAGTTTTTTCCTATACTATGTACTTTATTATCTTAGGGCTACGGTGAAAGTGCTCTGGAAGACGGAAAAAAATCACACGGGTATTCCAGCTTGGATGATGTGCCTAATAACGACATTTACCCTTTTATGTATCAGACAAACATGGAAAATAAATATCCTAACGAACGGTATAGCAAATATTTACACAGTCCGATTCGGTTACGAAGAGATGTGGAATCCAACTACGCAAATAACGGGTTAGGTGGACGATTAAAACGCAACTCGGAAACATTGAAAACGGAGAAAAACGATTATTTAAAAAATAGTAAAAGAGGCGTGCAAATTAATATCAAAGATTATGGACAGAAGTTGGACAAAACGGACGAGGATTACAGCGATCCGAAATCGGTTGTTCTAAATATTGAGCCCGTCGGATCATCGGATGCCAAGAACTCTTTTTCCGCCGGTGCCGCAACCGACGAAGAAAAACAAATGGGTCCCAATTTTGCCATCTCCGTTGCCAATATGGCGCAAAAACACACCGATCGTGAAGAATCTAACAAACTGTCTCAACGTATAAACAATGTCGCACGTCAGCCTGAAGTATATCGTGGTGATAGGAATAGCAATCATCAAAACAGACGTTATCAGGTCGGAAATGACAAAGCCGATTATGATAAAGTAGAAGGTGTAATACTGGATGGCGCAAACAAAGGAACCGCGAAAGAAACCGTAAACGATAACAAAATATCTAACAAAAGGCAACTCGACTTGAAGCAACATGAAAACGACGGTCTAGCATTCCTCAACTTGCAACCACTTGATGCCACGACCATTTCGTTTGAACAGGTGGAGCCCGCGGACCATTTAGTTTTTAATTTAGGAGACGATTCGGATCAGCGCAATAAATACGTGGAACCCTCTAATCAAAATGAGGAGGAGACTCGATTAAAATCAAATGACTTGGAGAAGAATACGTTTCAAAGCATGCAAGCTGTAGAATATAGTAAAGATGGCAATAGAGAATTAAGCGATGACCTCGAGGAAGAGCGTGATGACGATACATACGTCATTGCCTACGATGACGAAAATGATTTCGAAGAAGTTGAAATAAAACCAAGTCGCTTCGTCGAATTAGGTCATAATTCAAAAAATAACTTATTCGACACATACGAAAACAGTCGATGGAATAACGTACGCAATAAATTCAAGATGGAGCAGAGAGCTGACCGCAGAAACAATCTGTACGGCAAAGTCAGGGACCTCCCAACTCAAAGACGCGTGGTTTTAAATCGTCCGCTTGCGTTTAACGAATTGAACGATTTAATTGCTAATCCGCAGGCGAATAGAGAACCCAGGCGAGGAGCGCACGTTCGAAAAGGCAAGAAAAAATCCGAACACCGTCACTCGAAAAAAAAAACGCGTAAGGGTAAAAGGAGGAAACAGAAATGCTATGCGAGTGAGGATGATGCGATTTTAGACGATTTTATCCCAGCTTTCCATAAAAGAAGCCTGAAAGCGGTCGAGTCGATGTACGACGCTTATTTGGGGGATTTTGGGGAGCAAGACGCAATAGAGAATATAGACCACGCGGAATTTGATCAAAAGTTAAACGCCGATGTTGAAGGTGAAATCGAAAATGAACTTGAATTCCCGTCAGAATACGAAATCGACGACGATGATAAAGATTACAATTATGCTGTAGTCAAGTCGATGGAATTCCCAGATGCAAATTCGTTGCATAACAATGACCAGGAACCAGGATTGTCAGATGTTGTCAATGTTGATAGGAGAACTAAGAAGAAAGAAACAGCAAAAGGAACTACCAAGAAACCTACCAAAAAAACTAAAAGACCAGTAACAGATAAAAAGAAAAATGAATATCGCAATTCGCAATCCGATCGCAATCCGATCCCGTCGGATATATTTTCAGAAGATGGACATCAGGGATTGTCAAGCGTTACTCATATTCGTGGCAGAACCATGAAGAAAAGTAAACCAAAACCGAAAAAAGTATTAAAGGCAACAACTACTGAAGCAAAACGCACCAAATCGCTAACAGATGAAGAAAAACAGGCGCTGTTGCTAAAATTTAATAACGGATTCCAGCGATGGCCCCGATTTGTACTCGAAGACAAAAAGTACAAGAAACGTCTCGGAAGTTTGTCGCCGAACGAACGTTTTGCCAACTTGTATATACCACAAAAAGACAATTATTTTGTAAGGAGTCCAACTAGTGATAGAATTAAAAGGGTTACTAATGAAAAGCAAGAAACAATCGCTGGACGAAAATCCGCAAAACAATTCGCTCATGAAATGGATTCAGCTGAAGTTGAACAGGAACCCGTAGTGAATAAACGAGAGGATACAAAAAATATAACTCGGGCAGGTAAAATTATCAGTGGCATTGCATATTTTGCAATACGTCAGGAAGGGTAAGAAAACAAATTGAAAATTTTCAACAAAAAGTGTCAAGGACGAATTTGCAGGTACAAATAACATTGTGTAATTGAAAATTGCTCTCTTTTTTTTATCGGTAATGTTTAAAATAAATCGAAAGTAATACCATATTAATTAATTGTTATCTTTTGTAAAGAGGACATTCAAAATTTTGGTTGCTGACCCAATCACTTCACTTATTCAAAGAAGTTATACCATGGGCTAAATTAAAGTTCTTTCCGACAGATCAACGCTTGCAAACAACGACAAGAACTGTCTTCGATTTGAATATTCGCGAGAATGTCACCATAGATCCCATGATCCTTGCCACAGCGACTTTCCCAAATGTTGTTCAAGAAGTGCTGAATAATGTTAACGATGACGTTTTGGACCAAAAAACAAGAGCAGAAGTTGATGTGGTGAGTGATCAGTCAGATACACCGAATGTTCCAAAAAATTTCATACATGAAAAAGTTTGTCTAATATTTCAAAAGAAAATATATTTTTGAGAGAGAAAAATGTTTATTGAAATTGTTAATAAGTATAAAAACTTTTAATAAACATATCAGCCAAGGTTAAAATATTTATTATTTATTGAGTAAAGGTGCTATAAAATTAAATTATGCTAATTTTAGAGCAGAGCGATTTGCAAATATCTAGAAATAACTGTCCAGGAAAATTTTCCAGACACCTAAAGTTTCGATCTTTCTTAGGGTGCTTCAAAAAATATGAGCCGACAATCGGCTGACGAAAAAGAAGAATTCATGTAAACGTAGGTCCAGATATGCAAAATGAATATATAAATAAATTCTAAACTTCAATATTAAAAAAAAACAACGGTTTTTACGAAAATCCTTAATTCGTAGACTACATGAATGCAATAAAACTGATGGTGGTCATCTCTATCGTTTCCATTAGTATTAATTACAATAATATTATAGCGTTAAGATACGCAAATGAACTTATGAGTCAAAAACGTACTCTTTGTGGTTTAGTAAAGTGAATAACAAAAATTGCACAACAGTCAGTACCGTACACCTGTTTGGCTAGATTATTCTTTAAGATAACTCACGGGACGGTACTAAACTTTACATTGTTTATCTAATTAATGCAATAGTTCTCTATCATCATAAATGACGTTGTCAAATTTCAACAAAATCGCAAAAAATATTTTAAATATTGTAAAAAAAAATCTCTAGGTTTTTTGAAACATCCTGTATGTGTTTCAAAAATATTTTGCCGACTGCTGTCATACTGTTGTCACATTTAACTAAAAACTAATGGCAATGAGCATAAATTTTGTTACACAGGAATTCTAAGTATTTATTATTAAAATCTACGTTTTTTTAGGAAAAAAAAACATTAATCTTGATTTTAATCGCTGCATAAATTTAATTTAATATTACAACTGTAAGAAAACCATACTTTTACTGGGATTAGACAATGCGTTGTTATGCTAATAGAGAAAGCAGAACATCTCAAAAATGAGATAGTTACCGATATTGAGTAACGAAAAAATTTCAACAACCACTGATCCACGCCCCTAGGCTCATCTCGTCCGGCTTTTGAAAAAGGTACATTACAAGCGAATTAAAACTATGGTCCTGTTAACAATGACTATCATCAAACTAATACTACTAATAAGTCAGAGAAATATATTTAAGATGCTAGTACTACAAAAAGAGGTAGGAAGATAGAAGATATGGTAGGTAAGGTAAATTGTTGATCTATTCGAGGAGTTCAAGATTCAAAATACAGGGTTATTTATTTCAATCTTTAAAGTTGTCTCTGGGAAACTTTCTATATCGCCAAATAGTATTGTTGTACATCAAATTTCTAAAGATTTTGTTTTTTAGTTCTCCCAGACTTTCAATAGGACACTCAAATTGTGCCACTTTTTAAAGTATAATTTCTTTAAACTAACAATCCTAGAAACGTGACCAACTTTTCATTTCTCAATTTGAACTTTTGAAAACAAATTTAAAAAGAAACAAGGACGTGGAATAAAAATAAAGACGATCGAATCCACATTTATATATTCTCACTGTCATCTAACGAATATTTGATACATGATTAAATCAAGTCATTGTTAACTTTTTATTTTTGCAAAATGAACTTTTTCTGCTATTTTGTCGAATAGATAAAATTCACACAAATTATTCAGTGATCCTGCTATAATAAATGTTTGCAGGTAGAGAGTGCTTCAACTTCTCAGCTTTTGGCAACGAGTGCGGCAGCCCCTTTTCGATTCCCTACTGATTCGCAATATGATGAAGAAGAAGGATGCGTTACGTACCGTCCCGTACGCGTAACCTCTATTTGCCAGGATCCGTTACCAGGCCAAAGCCCCAGCACCGTAACCACAATGTTGGCACTCGTGAATGAGAGTAGCTATTCGGTACGTTACAACAACAACAAAGTTTTAATACGACGCAAATCAATAAAAAAATAAAACATTTCTTGGCAAATTTTGATGTAGGTTGAAAAGACTGTTTTCTACTCCCGTGTGTAAAATGCGTAATCCGCTGCGCTCCGCTCGTGTCAAATAAACTACAATAACAATTAAAATCTAGTTGACTAGTCGGTAAATAAAGTGACATTTATAATTTAAGTTTGCCACAGAAATTTTACATACCGTTCTCATGAACTTTAGTGGTTTTTGCAGTTTTTATATTAATATCTTGCCTAGACCAATTGTATGATTTTCAGATATCCATGTATCATCACTACAAACAAAACAAAATTGAAGGTTATGACCTGCTTTTCTTACTCATACGATCTTTAAATTTAATCCTCATAAAAGATCTATCCTTGAAGGATTTTTCTTTCAATTACAGTCTTTATCTTTAAATAAACTACTTAATGATCAATTGCAAAAGTTAAACAAACAACATAACGTTTTAAAATTGTTTTTATTCCGTTTTTTATTTGACATATCCAAAAATACATCTCTACACAGTTAAAAAGAGGCAACAATAGCAAAACCCATCGGAACGATCAACGAATGGTACGAAATTCAGTAATCCGATTATCTGTTATTATTTTTAATTTGTTAAATTGTGATTTTTTCGTCGTAGAAAAAATATAGTATGCCACACATTTGGTAAACTCTTTATCTCACTCGTTTATTAAGCACTCTCTCCGCTCGTGCCAAATAAACGCGCCAGTCAAATGCTATAATTAGCAATGTGCACTTTAATCTGTTTGTGTCGTGGTCAATATTATTTATTTTGACAGTCATTGCGTTATCACCTGTTCGTATTAGAAAATGATGCGAGCGTACCCAAAAAAGATAAATAAGGAAATAACCTTCCGCTATGGAACTTTGTTTTCAATCTTAATGCTGTTCAAACTTCTCATGGAGTTACGATATCTTTTTGTTTTGGGTCTTAGGCCAATTATCTCATTCCTGAAATAATATATCGGAGAAACTACCCAACATCGTTTTTAAATTTGTTACAGGTCAATCAGACCAAGGCCGAATATCTGGATTTGAACGATATTCTCGGAGGAAATTTACCGAAACAAATTGTTAATGAAATATGGTCCGAAGCCCGACGTTCCATCAGGAAAGGTTTAAGGGCCGGCCCTTTTAATGTAAGAAATAAATTATTCGTCGGCATATACCATTTAAGGAGCACAGCAACAAACAATTTTATTACAGTTAAATTTGGAACTATCGAACTACAACAGCAGCGCGGAAACAAGTCAGATTTTAAACGAGATGACGAAATTAATATTTCAACTTCAACGCAGCACGTCGTGCCAACAATTGCCCGTCAGCTTAAAGAACTACATTTCAGAGATTACAGGAAACCCTAAAGACGATATTTTGAATAAATTAAAGGAGATGAACGACATCGGTAAGCCATGGAAGGCTAATCTTTCGTGAAGCTTATATCTTTTTACACTTCTGGTTGTGGTTAGTTTTGGGTTCCTTGTTTTTGCATTTTCAAATACCAGCTAATTAATTGCTTAAAATAAAAAAACTTAGGTGTCTAGGACATTGTGGTACAGAACAGACTGCGCATGTCTCTAAATGTGCATTAATCTGCACTTTGCTTTATTTTCTTTCTAAACCGATAACTTTTCTCGTGCTTTTCCTGAAAATTTAATCGAATCTAAGCAAATTTTGACTAAATCTTGCTGAAAAAATGCCACCTCGAAACTGTAAAGTGTCAAATTGCCAAACTGTCAGCGGCCATGTTGGTTCTTGAACACAGCAAGGTCTTATTGGTTCGAAGCAGGATTTAAAATTGCTGGTCTTATTGGTTGACGCATATTGCGCAAATATATCCAAAGGAACCAAATTTAACAAATAAATACGAGGCTAACATCTGAGAGATCGGCATTTGCAGCTCATCAGCATAGATATAGATCACGGTAACGTACCACAACGTACTTAATTGTAGCAAGCTTCGCGTGATTTCTGAAGCCAAGGTTCATGTTAGGCACTTACTCCGGTGCTCTTACTTGGTGATTCAGTTTCTAAACCAAGATTTTTTTAAACTTTATTTACTTTACTCTATACTTTATTAGAATATTTCAATATTACAATTATAATGACTATCTCGTCTAGATACCTAAATTTAAAAAACCTGTATGTGTGAAAACCCCACATTAACTAGTTTAACTAAACTAAACAATTAAGTCAAACCTGGAAGAGTTTTCTAGAATATAGTTTTCGGTCTCTAGAAAACATCTTGGTTTATTTAACTTTCCTTACACATAGAGGATACCGATTATAAAAATTTATAAATAAATAAATTATTGTCTGCAGATTACTTTTAGTTTCATAATTATAGTTAATTTTTGCCTGTCTGGAAGAATATTTATGAATATGTACATGTACTCAAGATAAACAATATGCAACACTGTAAATATCTGTACTACAAAGTAACATAAAGTACGTCCCCCCGATATTAGAATCCTGTAGCTCTGAAGCGGATCAACTAATGCTTTATAAATAAGTGCAACAGGATTTTAGAATGAAATTCTAGTAACATGTAAAATTTATGCAATAAAGAACTGTTTTTTTTTTTTGTTAAGGACAAGATATGATTATCCCATTTAAGGTTTTTATCAACCATCACTACCAAATATTTTATAACATTATTTCCTTAATTGGTTCTACTAAAGTGTCAATATATATTTGTGAAAAGTTTTTCATTTTCACCTTCACACCTTTCCAAGAAGAATCACCAAAAACAATCACTGTGTCGTCCGACAATCTTTCATTGCTCATTTTCACACAACGCCGTAAAGTATTCCAACTTCATTTCCAACTAGTAACTCGACATTTCACAATAAAACATAAAAAATATCTTTTAAATCTCTATTAACGGGCTTAAACTGAAATAACTAATATAGTACCTACATATCACTGAATCCAAAATGTTATAAAACCAATTAATTCTCCTCCAAGGTTAAAACCTAAAAGTTACTATAATGTATATAATTTGTTTTTTCTATAACTTATTTCGATAGGTATAATTCCAGTATTTTATCTAAATAATTTTTTTATAGGATTAACACTGTATTCTCTAACAATGTTTTTCTCTATTTATTATTATTATCATTATTATTATTATCGCGAACAGCACTGCCTCAACCGTCTAACTTTCTTAATACATTAAATAATAGACGCGTTTGTTGCGGTATATCCATCTTAACAAAACTTTGGTAACTCGAAAGGTTTCCCATTTTTCTAAATTGAGGCCTATTGCCGCGGATTCCATACTTTTCAAGTACTTCAACTAATTGGACACGTGACACTGTATCAAACGCCTTTTGTAGGGCTAGAAAGACAGCAGCACACCTATTACCACCATTCTGATGGTTAGTAATTTCGTTAGTGAACTCCACTACTCTACTGAATGAAACCAAATTGATTCTTCTAAGAAAATCAAAGAGATAAGGACATTTTCTTATATGACATCTAGGATCAACAATACGAAAGTGTAAAATTTTAAAATTTTTGAAGTAATTTTATCGTTTCCTGGAGCGCAATTATGTTTTAAATTATTTATGTTTTCTATTATCCTATTTATCGTAGACTTTTTTGTGCAACTCTAATTTAGCGGCCATTTTTCCTAATATGTTGATAAAATATTCACGGAATATATTAGTTACTTCTTTTTAATCAGTTATTAAAATATCATCTTTTTTAAAGATATGTTTTCATTAAATCGGCTGTTATTTTCATTTGTAGCTTCATTAATTACTTCATAAATTTTCTAATATTATTATTTTCATTTACTTTTTGCATATAAAAAAAATTTAGTATTCATTATAAATTTATTTAGCAAATGCCGATAAGATTCATCATTTTGTCTCTAGTTTTTATAGAAGTAATTATTCCATTTGTAATCCCTGGTTTTATCCTACGATGGCTCCTATTAGAAGCTATTGTCTCCTCTACAATCTTAATTAACTTATCAATGAAAAGATTCACTACCATTCCAGGATCATGAATATCTAAAACGTCATTCTAGTTCAAATCATCCGCTGATTTTGTCAAAATTAACTCTCTTTTTGGTCTACCTGTTTTGTGGACTGGACGAAATACTTTCATTTGCACCGCCTCTCCTACAAGAACAATTTATATGGATTGGATATGAGATGGTCTGTGATTTGGCAATTTAATGGGACATTAACTTTCGTTTTAAAGAATTCATGATCTAAACATATTCTAGTGACGTCCTGATATAGAGAAACAAAATTGTGTGCTACCATCAGAGCGTAATATTTACAGAGAGTACTATCCGTATTACTTAATAGATCTAAATTAATATCTCCAAGCCTTTTTAATTATAGTAGGAATTAATGAAATACATCTGGAACAATAGGATCTGATTCTGCTTATCGTAAACACAGGTTTCTCTCCTGTAGTTAAATGTCTGGTCAATGTTGGCAGAGAATTATTGGAGGTGATAAATAACTACATCCTCATTCGGTGTCAGAGTTAATAACAGTGGTTAATTGATAACGCATTCTCCAAAACTAATTTTTGCGTATGTGTGCACGAACACATTACAGGACGTTCAATACCATTTCCAGATTTTGACGATTACCAAGGGGCATATATGTTCCACGCAGATCAGAGCGACAAACTTGAAGGCAAGGTTGAAGTTTTAAAGAGTTTACTGAACAGATATAATAACTTGCCTGCTGACTGCAAAGAGAGGGCAGAGCCAGTTAAAGAGTATATTGAAAAACATCTAGGAATGGTGAACACTATGCTCGAGAATGGCAAGAATGGCAACTCAAGTGAAAAACAACACAAATCGAAAAAATTGCGGGACGTGAATCGTAGACGCAAAAAATTTGAAGGTAAAAACTCTATCTACGCGGTTTTAAAACTTTCTCGAGTGATTTTTAGTGATTTTACAAGAATTTTTGGCAATGTCGCTTATTATTAATTCATCGCGTTTTATGCTGGTTGCGATTTATTACTAATGGATAATAATCCAAGGGAAATATAGTTTTGGTTACAAGGAATAAAGGCTTTGGTTTCAAAAAATATTGCTTCAAATAAAAATTATCTTTCAAATACAAAATTCAAGTTTATTTAAAATATTTTTGCTTGTTGGCAGCAACACACTTGATCTTTTTCAAAATTTCATGTAAATTAATATATTTATAGGAAAACACAGTAAAACGTTTAAAGAAGATGATTTTCTCCGAGAGAAATTGATAAAAAAGCAGTTAGAAGAAGTTGGTTTGGGAGAAAATCAACGATTTTCTCCAATGTTTAGTATCGATGAGTTAGTAGAGAACAATAAAAACAAAAGCAAACCCAGAGCGAGGGCTTCAAAGAAACGGGTTGGCAAAAGACAGATCAACACTTCAACATCCACACAATATGGAAAATTGGCAGATGCAGTACGACAATTAAACAACAAAAGAGAAAAACAACAAAGAATTCAGGCAATGTACGGAAGAAAAGATAACGTTGACGACGAAGATCACAATGAGGAGAAAGCAGGGTTTGATTCCGCTATGGTATTGGATTTTTAATTATTATTAAATATATAATTTACAACTTAACTCCCATGCTTTTACTCACGTTTTCTACTTGCTACTCTACTCTAAAATACTCAATTATGTACTGATCAAGCATCCGCTTCCTTAACCACCATGGTCGACATTTTCGGTACTTGAGTTACTGGTCATTTTAGCAAGGGATGGTATTTTGGCGTTTGTCAGTTCTGATGGCCGCGACATTCGTCACTTAGTGAATGTACCGATGCTATTTTGCAAAAATATACCTAAATATTAGTGGTCGCAGAAAAAATATAACATGGAAACTTCTTGAGTGTATTAAACACTAACTTCACTACGCTCCACTCGTGCCAAATTAATTTTTTAATACCTAAAATAGTTAGTCATATTGCAGTGATGACATTCTTCGATACTTCGGATAGTTTGATTATGGGAAACCACGCTATATGGAGAAAAACATATACACCACTTAATTCAACTAATTCAAGAGTTTTAATTCCTTATACTTTGCTGCTTTGAAATACAAATAAATTTTAGATACGTATATTAATATTAAAAAAGGAAGAACTGTTCCTATTACCAAAATATAAAGTTTAAAAAACGAAGATAATTTTAGGCCCTTTAACAAAAAACTTTTGAGGGATAACGAAAGTCACGTGATCCCATACAGTAGCATAATTTTGTGACAAAAGTGACAAAAGTTCCCATAAATGTAGGTCATAAAATTCATTGTTTCTGAGATATAGGGTTTTAAGGTTTGTTTTTTAAATAATGTTTTTTTTTAAATTAACTAAAATATCTTCTCACGGATTTGTGTGAAATTTTAAAATTTGACATTAAACAGGGGCGTTGAGAGAGAAGATTAACGTTTCTGAATAATATTAATAAGCATATTACAATGATCTATATATGTCTGAATTAATAAGCAATTTGTCATGACTATTTATTGTCATTATATTAAACTATAATACAAAACAGTAACAAATATAACATAACTATTACACAAAAATGTCACTAATTAAGACATAAAAATAAACTGCAATTTTGTATACTACAAAACTAATAAATCCAGAATAAAGTGACTGTCCATGTTTGATTTATAATTTTAAGTCCCTCAACAGGATATAGTCGGAACACTAAACGTGTTAGCAAGAAAATCTTTTAAGTCCTCTTAAAATTGAGTCACGATCCTAGGAATTCCGATGGGAAAACGATTAAATTGAAAAAATCACGGTTTTGACAATCAGATCATAGCTGAGAAGAATTTTTATAGGGCGCTCAAAATATCGGAAATCCGTTTTTAATAGATAAAGTTTTATAATAACACTGAAACGACTAGTTTGTTCAGAAAACTTAACGATTGCTATTAGGAAATGCCGAATTTCCAACACAGTAGTATTTGTTGCTCCAATTAATCAACAAAATGTAATACGTTTAAATCGAGTTCTGGTTCAACTTTCATTCCAACGGTTGAAAAGTTGGGGGGGAGAGTGGAGCAGAAGCTTACTTTATACATACAAATGGCCAGATGTTCGTTTTCTGCAAATATCGGAATTTTCAATTAAAGTGTTTCACCATCGAAACAATTTCGTCGAGTTATGATTGTTTCATCTAATTTTTACCTTTTATGTTTTTTTTTTCTGTAAGTATTATTTATAATTTTCACGTTTAAATTCCAACTCAACTATAATATTTTAATTCCATTTCAGTTTCCTAAAGGTTATTTCTTATAACGTTTTTAAGAACAATATGTTTACTTTATCGATTCCGGCCGACTAGTTCAGTGGAGGTTCAATATATTATATAATATTTTGTTGCTTGAAGCCAAAATATTAAATCAGAATTAAAGGCAATATTTTAGGATAAAAATCCAAAGACGAAAGTGAAACATGAAATCTAAATTTTCGTTTTTTTTTCAATATATTTAAAATTACTTGAATAACTAAATAACGATAAATTAGTTCAAGGATCTGTTGTGATCTTGGCTATCAGTGGCTTTGTCAAAACTGGTAATACAATTGCATAACAATGCCCCCATATTTGCTTACATTTTTGTAACTTTTACTGGATTCTACCTGTTATACGTTTCATGTATACAGATGGTAGATTTTTTGTAAATAAATAATGAAATAAATAAATAACCTTAGTCTACAGTAAAATAATCTTCCAAGTTTCGCATATGGACCTCATTATTTTTGAATAACAGAAAGGATATAAAAGAATCCCGAAATCTTAAACTTTTAGAAACTCAATTATCAAAGTCGGACATATTTTGTGTTACGCTTTAGATTAAGCTAATCTGCTACATGCTATAATTCCACGTATTCATGTGAAAACTTTAACAATATTTGTCTGGGGGAAATAATACGAAGCAAAAGGACGCAGGTGCCCAGTTTCGACCCTGTTATTCTTTAGGAATTATTTTCACAGAATGAACCGAAACAGCTAAACCCGAAGCTTCTGGATTGTTACGATTAGTAGAGAAACAGAGAGAATATTTTTCTCCGTCGCTGTACATTTCGTATGCGAGAGAGGCACGTTTGGAATATTCGCTAATTTTTAGTCCTGAAACTTTCATTATTTATATTAAAATTCAAGCATGCACATAAAACGTATACCAAACGGCCTCAAGACAACGTCCAACTAGTTCCTTCCAGCTCTAAAAGAATGAAAATGTGAATATTCCGAACTAACACTGACCAATAAATACAATAGACCTCAATTACACAATACAATACACCTAAATTTGACACACTAACCTGCACTTTGAACGTTTTTTGATGTTGGATTTAGAAGTAAGGGTATTGTCAGCGTAATAGGTAAGTCCTCTAGATAGCTTATGAGCTATAGGAACAAAACATAATCTACCAACAATTTTAAATATAATCTAGGTATTACTTACGTATAAGTAACTAACTTATACTTGCCCCATTTTTTTTTCTCAGCGGGAATCTCCGCACACTTAACTAGTTATTTCATGCAAATGTAATAGGATCTGGGCAAATTTTAACAAAACACTGTCGAAATAATGCCTCATCCAAATTAAAAACTGTCAAGGTCTTATTAGTTCGTTGGGTTTTGAAATGACTCGATTATAGTCGGTGCGATTTGCGATGGCATAGTCGGTCATAAAACCCCGAGAGAGGGCGCCGCAGTATTTTATGCTTTGCTTTTGCTTCCATTTCCATACTAAGAATGACAGAACCCACCCATTTGCCTTTGTCTATTACACCCCGGTGCCTACACTCGGCAGAGAAAGCTCCAATTACTGGATGATTGCAGTAGTTTCCACTACAAAACAAAAACTACTTCGGAGCCCCCAAAAGTCGTCTTTAATTATTGTTAGCGAAAGTGTACCAAACGCATCCAGAAAAAAAGAAGAAAGTATCAGTTGGCTGCGCAATATGCGGATGAATTAATTACCCCGATACTGGTCTCAAATGTGAGTTTATAAAATTGTCAAAAATTATAAAACAAACTTGCTGTATGCTACAGATGAAATAATTGCTGAAATGAGAGTCATCAATGTTTAAGATTGCCTCCTTACCGTTGTATATTTAATGCCATAGAATTTGTTTGTGCCCAGTGCAAAATATTTTTTTAATAAAAATATTATAAGTGAGGCAAAGTACGATGATACTGCAGTTGTATCTATTTTGAAAGCAACTCTCCAGACAGTTACCAAAGATAATGAATACTGAAAAAAAAAAGAATACACTTGGTATAACGGAATGACTACTTGTTACTTTCGAAAAATCGGGCAATTAGAATATTCCGTACTATATTCAAAAACGTCATGAGTGACCCAAATATGTAGTTGGCAAGGAAGTAAATTTTCTTTGAATATTTTGGCTTCCAGAAAAACATGATTTTCTCACAAACTGTTCAACCGATCCGCAAAATTTTAGAACCAGGAAATGCGGGAGATCCGGGGCTAAAAGACCATGAAAATCGTTCTTTTCGCTATTAAATTATTAGCTGTAAATCAAAATTCGAGAAAAATATGGCCAATTGGTTTAAACAGTGTAATAAGCCACATCGAGAGCTACAATTTTTATATTTACGGTTTTTGTGTATCACAGACGCTGTTCAAGATATTTGAAAAAATCCAAATGAAAATCACAATTTCTCGCCCTGAATCGAGACGCGATGACGTCACTGATTATTACGCCGTACTGCATGGTTTCAGAAAACCAAGTACTTCTTGAAAATCACTTATTCTATTGGAAAAAATCATACTCCAGGAAGCACCGTTATTTCAAACATTGTTTGAATTATATACAGGGTGTGTCGATTATTGGCAGAAAATCTAAAAGTTCCTTTAAATTTCCGTTTAGGTGGGCAAATTATTGGCAATAAATGAAACGCTGCTTAAGATTGGATAATTTGATTTGAACAGTATCGTAAACTGTATCGAAAGAGAGTTTCAGGTATTGTCAATTATACAGGGCGCGAGAGATATTTGAAAAAATATCATTCGACAACGCTATTATTTGTATAAAATTTAATATTTACCGAAGTTTTCTGAAACTTTAAAGTTCGAGGCTTAAAACACACTTTATACAGGGTGTATGCACAATAAAATTATATCTATTTTGCCAAAGTTCCATAGTGGTTCGCAAGAGCACGATAGAAAAACAATGCGTCCCTTTACCACACAAAACCGCGAAACTCTTTTCTTTTGTAATAAAAAAGCTACTTCGCGCTACGCGCTACGAACGCCCAGTGATTTTTCGAAAGCAACCTTGTTGTTATAAATACAAACTAAAGATGGTTTACTTGTATATTTACTCTTGACAAATTATATTTTATACGGTATGATTTTTTTTTAATTTTCCGATTTTTTGGTATTGTTTTAACAATGGTTTATTTAACAAATTGTCATGTTTTCATGTAGATTCAGCTACTTAAATATTCGCATATCATTAAGGCACACCCTGATCTATTATTACATACGGCTGTCTGGCATTGAGCAGATAGACATTTAGGGCGGAACCACA